AAAATCTTTTTTTGGGTGGTACAAATTAGTACAAATTCAGTACTAATAGAATCTATCGTTATTTGTTATTTTTTAATAATTTTTATTCGGTTAGTTCCACATCATGTTGGCAGGACCCAAAAAAGATTTTTTTCAAATAACACGGGGTACAAAATTCTTTCTGGTGGTACAAAATAGTACATGACAAGTGGTAAGTAATAAGATAAATTTAGTTCAATTTTGCTGGTTAAATTCTTAAAAGATCAGAAAAGAAATGTCCTATTTTCTAGGATAGACGAAATAAGGGTTGTTTTAAGGGGTTAATGGAAATATTTTGACTTTTTTTGAGTGGTACAAATTAGTACAAATTTAGCGCTAACTGTATACGTTGTATTTTTTATTTATATATATATATATATTTTTTTTTTTTGGTTTTGCTAGCTTAATATAAAGTTGGCAGCGCCACGATTTTTTCTTAAATGGCACGGGGTACAAAATTATTTTTTGTGGTACAAAATAGTACAAAATGAGTACTAAATTTTCTGATAAGTCGCATTCGATTCTGCTGATTTGGTCCTGCCAGCTTATGAGAGGTATTATTTGACAAATATTTGTTATCTAAACAACGGGAAGCTTTTAATATATAATAACGTAATTAACGATGCTCTATTGAAACCGGAGACGGGCGCTTGTTCGGTTCAATGCTCGACCCTATATGTTTCAATTTCGATATATTTATTATCAGAGCTAGTTATATATAGACTTTAAGCTTAAAGTATTTTGTCTAACTGTCATATTAATTTTTTATCAAATAAAATTATGCAAATCGTAAAACTTATAAAATGTGTTTCGAAGACATCGTGTAACATATATGCATTTAATAACTTATAATATACAAAGATTAATTTACCAAATAATGTTGTGATTTTCTACACAATTTTATTAATAAGTATATTCTGAACAAAGTATATTCGCCGATAATGCAAAAGATGTTACACGAAACAATGTCGTAACTAGTAAAAACCCAATGTATGATTACCGAATTACCCCTAAATATAAGGATAACATTGGTAGGAAATTATCAGATGCGGTAATAATAGAAAATTGGCTGAGTTCGTCATTTCAAATCTGAGGTCGGCAAAAAGGAGAAAAATTTTGTATCAATTGCGCCCGTATTTGTCATACGTTAATTTGATACTTCCGGTCGTATTATCGTCCTAATGACTTGGAATTATAGAGGGCAGACTTTGTATTACGATTGCTGTAATTTGTCGGTGGATGTAATTGTTTGCTTACAGTGGCTGCAATATGTGGCACTGCTGGAGGTAATTAACGTGAATTTATACTCAATTTATAGTATTCATGTATAAGTATCGCGTATCAATCTATATCGAAGTAATTAAATCGGGCAACGGAATACAATATCGTAACCGCATCACGCATTAATTATTGTATTTGCGCGCAAATCGTTATAAGATGTGGGCAAAAGTACCGTGGGAAGCGGCAGCCTCGAATTTAACCGTGTTGAATCGAATCGATGAACCCGCCTGATTGACTCTCTCTCTCTCTCTCTCTGCTTTCCTGTTGCGCGCTATTTTCCGTCCAATCATTGAAAATTAATTAGAATACAAGCGCAACGTAATCCGTTTTGACGATATCGACGCGTTTGTTGATTTGTCGCGGCACGTGTGCGTCAAGTGTGCCGAGTATTCCAAGACATGTTAGGAAGAAATATTATTTAGACGAAACAGTACAGAAGAAAATATTTTTACGTTCAGTCTTCGTATAGACGACAATGACGAATTCATAGGCGTTTCTTCGCGAATCGATCGCGATCGGTCGATTTTCTTTAGTACTGAAGCTCGCTAGACGACGACGTATCGCGAAATTGTGCATAATTCGGAACAATGTAAAGCCATGCTTTTTCTTTTTTTGCATCAGACCTTGCAAGTTTCCTGAATAAGTGATACCTCCTAAGCTGTCTTATAGCTTCGCGTGAAGCTGATCGATCACACGGACAAGACAATGAGAAATCATCGTTCGGTCTCCGAGTATCACAATGCCACGGAGAGAGCACCGCGCTTATTAATACACTTTGACCTTGATGCCGTGCTCGGTTCGAAGGTAGCGCCGAGTTCTATGTATTGCTTATCCCGCGTTGTTGAAGTTTCCGTTGCCAGTTGGAGCGACAAATTGCCAACATGTGTTTTTGATACCTGATTATCTCGGGTCCGGTTTGTGCACTCTATGTTTATACCGAAATGATCTAAATTGGGCGACGCGTTCGCTCTAATGCCGATCCTGGCGGGGCTCGCGTTCGGCGCTTATTTCTCCTCAACCGCGCCGCACCGAGTGGTGCTGCATACTCGAAAGAGTCGCTCGCGATTAGCACTCGGGTGCATTGCTACCGAGGCAGCCAAGGTCAGGTTTCGATCGCGCGAGAAAATGCGCCGAGCGTCTTATCGGGGTTCTATCTCTCCCCGGATATGATCGGGGTCAAGAGACCTCTCTCCCGGGGTTCTTACCCCGCTGCATTCGATATGCGCCTCTCTCTCTCTCTCTCTCTCTCACACACACACACACACACACTCATTCGCGTCGCGATTGCGTTCGCAGCGTCTTCCCGTTCGTCCAACTTTCTCGCGCGCACGCGAATCGATCGAATTTCCGGCGGATTTCTGCTCCTGCGCACGTGCCGCGGCGCACCTACCAGCCGTTCATGCCGTCGCGACGCCTCGTGCGAGGGCTCAGCTCAGCCTTGCGCTCGGATCTCTGTCAGCGCAATCTAATTGAGTGGCAGCCCCGTGGGGCGATAGGGCGTACGTACGACCCTTCATTCTCAGAAAAATATAAATAGCTCCCACAGACTAATACCGCCGCGTAACTTGTACTTTGTTTCGTAGTTACAGAATAATATTCCTATTTAAATATACGACGTAAAAGTTATCGTTTTAACTGTTAGGCGAAGCACAAAGACCGATCGGAGACGTTGTAATATTGATCGAAGAGGTCATCTCTCGCAACGAAAGATGTAATAAATTTAATAAGTTAGAATCGACCGCTGTCTTTGATGCAACTTGATATCTTTTAAAATAAAGAGTGCATAAAGGAAACACGCTTGCCTCCCCGACGGGGTGTTTCTACACCCTTTAAAATGTCTGAGGAAAGTTTGCATGAAAGGATATTCTTCCAACGATGCGAGTAACCGCTGCAAGCTCCGGGGGCATAGCAGAAAACAAACGACGCCGCGTACACGTGCTTCGCGGGGCGAGTGTGTGCTCGCATACGGAATATTGATCGCAGTTACTTGTGCACAGGTACTTGTACTTCGCCAGTTTCGTTCGTTCCCAACAGTGTCGATTGTTACGGTCGTTGCTTGCCGCAGCAGCTGCTGCACCCAGTTTCGATTATCGCCGTTGCGAACTCGTGAAGTGAGAGAGAAGCGCGGTGGGTGCGCGTGGCACCGCGAAAATTTCGCCAGAGAGATTCGCGATGTTATTTCTCGCGCTGCTCTCAAAGACGCACGGCGTTTTATCACCGTTTGAAAAACAAGATTTTCGTCCCTCGATCCGCAACATTGCGGCCCGTCGATCGATTTTCCGGGATAACACTTGTTCCCCGCTGAAAGTCCCGGGAGTTTCGCTCGTGGCGTACCAACGAAACAATACGACCTCCGTATTACTTCGCGACGACTTATAGATTTGGACAAATATCGAATCGATTGCTTTGTCGCGCGTATACGAAGAACGGTATCGTCCGCGATCGTGTACGCGAAAGGCGAACACGAGGCGCACGGCGTAC